GCCCCCAAATTCTACTTATTAACTTTTCCTTATGCCTTAGAACTTATCTATATATATATGTAAACCCTCTTAGAAGATTATAACACTTCATCATCTTTTATAACTAACCATAATTCTTGAATCAAAGAATTTCATCAAAATTTCCATGTATTCTAAATTCATTTCTAATACTTCAATCTTCTTAATCCTTCTAATGACAAGTCAAATTCATCAATAAAACTTCAAAAACCTCTTTATATCAAGAATTTATTTTTTAACCCTTAATAAAATTTTCTTTCAGATTCTCTCTACTTGATGATTTAAGCTTATATAAGTTTTCCTTAAGCTTATATAACACTTAAATAATCAAGACCAACTTATAAATCCAAGAATTAAACAGCTAAAATTAACTTACCTTTGTGAAGTAAACCAACGGGAAGAAGAAGAAGAAGAAAACAATATAAACTTCCTGATAAATCTTTTCCCCCACATGTTTATCTCTTAATAAAGAGATAAATATCAAAAGACCATAATTCCCCTTCAAACTTTCCATAATTACCATTTAATCCAATACTGAAATATTCCTATTTAAGTCCTTAAACTTTTCCATTTTTCCTACATTGATCCCCAAATTTTAAAAATTCTCATTTTAGTCACTAGCCCTATCTTTGAGATGTTACAAATCTCTCCCCTTTAAGAAAATTCATCCTCAAATTTTCACTTTACAGTGAAATGAAGCAATCAATCATAATCCTCAACAAATCTTGATTTACTCTTACTATTAACCTTATACTCATACTATATACAAGCTCAACACAATTTATTCACTTGAAAACCATACTCTGCTAATCAATCTCTACCAGTTCATTACTTATAACTTCCAAATTTTTTTCCGATTCTCCTTCTAATTATCACTAGAAGATACTATATTGATTCCAAATTTATTAAAATCAAACTACTTAACCATATTATTGAAATTTACCTTCCATAAACTCTGGATCCTCGAAATCTTCATTTGCACATAAATTATAAACGCGTGTAGTTGGATGCATATCCTGTTGAGTGGATGATTCATACTGATTCCTTCCACGACCTCTACCTCTATTTCTCTGAGATACTATAACATATTTCTCTCTCTGTACAGTCTCATCAGTCAGAAAAAGACAGCCTCGGATAAAATGTTCAACATCACCATATTTAAAGCAGACTCTTGAAATCACTCTACAGACTTCTGTATGATTCTTTCCATAATATGAACATTTCTTGGATTGACTTATATTTGACCTTTTAGTTATAGAAGTAGCTGATTTAAACATATCCTGAGTTGGAGAATCCAAATCTCTAATTTTCTTTGATGGTGATGGACTCGATGAAGTACCAATTCTCTTAGATTTCTGAACCTTTTGCTCTTTGAATCTCTCATTCTGAGCTCTTTCTAAAGCTTTAGCTCGATTGACTACTTCTTGAAATGAGGACAAATTCATAGCTAGCACAACTCTTTTAACCTAGGACGCAAGCCTTCTACGAACCAATCACATGTATCCTTTTCAGTCAGAATAAGTTCAACAACAAAACGACTTAACTTATTAAATTCACATTCATAATCATACACTGTATAATCCCCTTGTCTCAAATTTAGAAATTCTTGCTTCATCTGTCTAATAAACTGATCACCAATGTACTTACGCTTGAATTCTTCTAAGAAAAATAACCAGGTCACTTGATCACTTCTTAATCTCATGGTGACATTTGTCCACCATATCCTAGCTTGACCCCGCAACAACGAAACTATTCCATCAAATTTCTCCACTTCATAGCAATTGAGTCCCTCTAACATTATATTAACATCATTCAACCAAAAATCTGTGGCAACAGGATCTTTCTCAGCTTTACCCTTGAGCTCGGGCGCTCCTAAACCTTTCAATTCCTTAGCTATATTCATTCGAGGAGTTGAGGGACCAAAACATTGAAAACGTGACAAAATAGCGTTTAACGTCCCGAAGAACAACCCTTGATCTCGTACTGGTACTTCTAGAGGTGTTCGCTCTTCACCCTACCTGGCCAGGGCAAGTGAATTACTACTACCTCAAGGTCTATCACTTCTCCTTTCATTTTGAGAACTCTCACGATCAGACATCTAAGACATAACCGTATAACTCTATTAGAAGACAACATACTCTTAACTCTATCAGATCAGAAACTTTCATTTTTTGTTGGTATGTATACATTTTTAAAATACTTTTGACCCCGGTTTAATCCTAAAATCGGTTAAACTTAGCTCTATTACCATTAAATGTAACACCCTAACCCGTATTCAACCCAAATACGAGTATGAGATGTCACATCAACTTTTCGAATCATTTTCTTATATAAAATAGATAAAAATTTAAGAAGTTGCAAACATACTAAATAATTTTTATATATCAATTTAAAACATTTACAAAATTATTCAGAGCTTATACAAATTCAATCATTGATATACATGCCAACACTATATAATATAAAAAGGAAAGCTACTGTACATTTTCTGATTTGATCTTCATTGAAGTTATGTTGTCTCCACTGCCTATCTTCTCTTAGCAGTTCTTGGATCCTACGTATGAAACACTCACGCGCTAAGTCATAGACTTAGTGAGACATGTAAATAAATAATGAAACTATAACTACTTAACAAATGCATGTACATATCATGGAACTAAAAATGTTCATATACACACATAAATCATCATTTACATGTTAAACATTAATTACATTATTCTCACTAATTCCTTTTTAGCATGTAAACTTGTACTTATCATTTCTATACATATAATAACACAAATAACTCATTTCACAATAAAGCACACATAGTATCAAGCCAAGCTTATTTATATCATCACTTTAAAGCCAATGTATACTTTTGAGAACGTAAGGTATGTGACTACATAGAGGTTGTGCACATATGCTATCACCACAGCTCGTATAATCCCCACTAGGGGCACTGAAAATTTGTCCCGAAGGACCATTATGTTCCGAAGGACCACTCCTTAAGAACCATATACATAATCAATGGACCAAATACGTGTACCAAAGTACCATATATATGTTCCACAAAATTACATATATGTCCCGAATGACCACGTAGAATCCTTGACTCTTGGCATGCCAACTATACCCCTAGCTCTCATAACATATAACATGGGCATTTTAATTATGTCATTTCACATATTCATATAAGCACATGGTTCACTTACAAATAACACATTTTCATATGATTCACTTTCACATATCTTATTACATATACTTATACACTTTTTCATATCATGTCTCATGTAACCACATATGTCCTATCTCATATCATTTATCTCTTTACCTCATAACTTATGTAACATGTTCACGTTTTCTTGTATTCATATAACTTATATCATTTTACACATATTCACATAATTAACACACATACATGGATTCACATATATCACAAGCATATAGATGCACTTACATCATATGCATGGACTCATATATCTCTAAACATCATATCACTACGTGCTTACATCTGGTTACTATTATAATATAATATCAGAATTATACTTCTAGCAAGTCATAATTCTCTAACATAACTACACTTCATATCATGTACTCACCTTGGTTTCTTTCCAATATCAAGCTCTCGTTCTCTCTCTAATCTTACTTTGACAGCCTATCTGAACTTTGCTTCCGATCGATATCTATACGATCACGAAATTTAATGAATGTCGAGATTTGAATTACTTGATACGATTCCTATTAGTTCAAACCAAATAAAACTCCAATTCCAACTTTTCAAACTTAAGTAGTATCAGTACCACCCTTAGGGTACCGATACCTCTAAGCTAGGGTACCGATACCCTATCCAGGTACCGTTAACAAAATTAACTTTGAAGTTCTGCGGGTATTGATACCCTCCACATAGGTATCGATACCTCTACCATATGGTATCGATACTGTTCATACAGATTTTGATACCCCTTGCAACAAATCCTTTTAAATGGCCTTGTAGTATCGATACCCATTCAACAGGTACCGATACCCCTTGCCCAAATTTCCATTTTTAAACCCGAAAATTTAACCTTTTTCCCCAAATTCTACTTATTAACTCTTCCTTATACCTTAGAACTTATCTATACATATGTAAACCCTCTTATAATATTATAACACTTCATAATCTTTCAGAATAAAAGAATTTCATCAAATTTTCCATGTGTTCTAAATTCATTTATAATGCTTCAATCTTCTTAATCCTTCTAATGACAAGTCAAATTCATCAATAAAACTTGAAAAACCTCTTTATATAAAGAATTCATTTCTTAACCCTTAATGAAATTTCCTTTCAAATTCTCTCTACTTAATGATTTAAGCTTATATAAACTTTCCTTAAGCTTATATAACACCCAAATAATCAAAACCAACTTATAAATCCAAGAATTAAACATCTAAAATTAACTTACCTTTGTGAAGTAAACCAACGGGAAGAAAAAGAAGAAAACAAGATAAGCTTCCAAATAAATCTTTTCCCCCACATGCTTATCTCTTAATAAAGAGATAAATATCTTTTAAATAAAAAGACCATAATACCCCTTCAAACTTTCCATATTTACCATTTAATCCAATATTGAAATATTCATATTTAAGTCCTTTAACTTTTCAATTTTTCCTATATTGATCCCTAAATTTTAAAAATTCTCATTTTAATCACTAACCCTATCTTTGGGATGTTACAAATCTCCCCCTTTAAGAAAATTCGTCCTTAAATTTTCACTTTACAGTGAAATGAAGCAATCATTTATAATCCTCAATAAATCTTGATTTACTCTTACTATTAACCTTATACTCATACTATATAAAAGCTCAACACAATTTATTCACTTGAAAGCCATACTCTACTAATCAATCTCTACCAGTTCATTAGCTATCACTTCTAAATTATTTTTCGATTATCCATATAATTATCACTAGCATATACTATGTTGATTCCAAATTTATTAAAATCAAACTACTTAACAACATTATTGAAATTTACCTTCCATAATCTCTGGATCCTCAAAATCTTCATTTTCACCCAAATTATAAACGCGTGCACTTGGATGCATATCCTGTTCAGTGGATGATTCATAATAATTCCTTCCATGACCTCTACATTTATTTCTCTGAGATACCATAACAGATTTCTCTCTGTACAGTCTCATCAATCAGAAAATGACAGTCTCATATAAAATGTTCAACATCACCACATTTAAAACAGGCTTTTCAAATAACTCTACAGACTTCTGTATGATTTATTTCACAATATGAACATTGCCTGGATTGACTTATATTTGACCTTTTAGTTGTAGAAGTAGCTGATTCCAACATATCCTGAGTTAGAGAATCCAAATCTATACTTTTCTTTGATGGTGATGAACTTGACGAAGTACCAATTCTCTTAGACTTCTGAACCTTCCACTCTTTGAATCTCTCATTCTGAGCTCTTTTTAGAGCTTTAGCTCGATTGACTACTTCTTGAAACGAGGACAAATTCAGAGCTAGCAACAACTCTTTTAACCTAGGGCGCAAGTCTTCTACGAACCAATCACATGTATCTTTTTGAGTCGGAATAAGCTCAACAGTAAAACGACTTAACTTATTAAATTCACATTCATATTCAAACACTGTATAATCCTCTTGTCTCAAATTTAGAAATTCTTGCTTTATCTGTCTAATAAACTGATCACCAATGTACTTACGCTTGAATTCTTCTAAGAAAAATATCCAGGTCACTTGATCACTTCTTAATCTCATGGTGACATTTTTCCACCATATTCTTGCTTGACCCCGCAATAACGAAACTATTCCATCCAATTTCTCTACTTTAGAGCAGTTCAGTCCCTCTGACATTATCTTAACATTAGTCAACCAAAGATCCGCGACAACAAGATCTTTCTCAGCTTTACCCTTGAACTCAGGCGCTCCTAAACCTTTCAATTCCTTAGCTATATTCATTCAAGGAGTTGAGGGAGAAGAAGGTTGAAAATGCAAAAAAATAGTGTTTAACGTCCCGAATAACAACCCTTGATCTCGTACTGGTACTTCTGGAGGTGTTCACTCTTAACCTTGCCTGGCCAGGGCAGGTGAATTACTACTACCTCCAGGTCTATTACTTCTCCTTTCATTTCGAGAACTCTCACGATCCGACATCTAAGACATAACCGTATAACTCTATTAGAAGACAACTTACTCTTAACTCTATTAGATCAGAAACTTTCATTTTTTGTTAGCATGTATACATTTTTAAAATACTTTTGACCCCGATTTAATCCTAGAATCGGTTAAATCTTAGCTCTGATAACATTAAATGTAACACCCCCAACCCATATTCAACCCGAATACGAGTCTGAGATATCACATCAACTTTTTGACTCATTTTCTTTTATAAAATAGATAAAAATTTAAGAAGTTGCAAATATACTAAATAATTTACATATATCAATTGAAAACGTTTACACAATTATTCAGAGCTTAAACAAATTCAATCCTTGATATACATGCCAACACTATATAATATAAAAGGGAAAGCTACTGTACATTTTCTTATTTGATCTTCGTTGAAGTTATGCTGTCTCCACTGCCTATATTCTCTTAGCACTTCTTGGATCCTACATGTGAAACACTAACACGCTAAGTCATAGACTTAGTGAGACATATAAATAAATAATGAAACTATGTTACTTAACAAATGCATGTACATATCATGGAACACAATGTTCATATACATACATAGATCATCATTTACATGTTAAACATTAATTATATTATTCTCACTAATTCCTTTTTAGCATGTAAACCTGTACTTATCATTTCTATACATATCATAACACAAATAGCTCCTTTCATAATAAAACACACATAGTATCAAGTCAAGCTTATTTATATCAATACTTTAAAGCCCATGTATACTTCTGAGAACGTAATGTATGTGAGTACATAGAGGTTGTGCACATATGCTGTCACCACAGCTCGTATAATTCTCACTAGGGGCATTGAAAATTTGTCCCCGAATGGCCATTATGTCCCGAAGACCACTCCTTAAGAACCATATACATAATACAATAGACCAAATAAGTGTACCGAAGTACCACATATATGTTCCACAAAATTACATATATGTCCCACAAAATTACATATATGTCCCGAAGGACCACGTAGAACCCTCGACTCTTGGCATGCCAACTATACCCCTAGCTCTCATAACACATAACATGGGCATTTTAATTATGTCATTTCGCATATTTATATAAGCACATGGTTCACTTACACATATCACATTTTCATATGATTCACTTTCACATATCTTATCACATATACTTATACTCTTTTTCATATCATGTCTCATGTAACCACATATGTCCTATCTCATATCATTTATCTCTTTAGCTCATAACTTATGTCACATGTTCATATTTTCTTGTATTCATATATCTTATATCAATTTACACATATTCACATAATTAACACACATACATGTATTCACATATATCACAAGCATAGAGATGCACTTACATCTAGACATATACATGGGCTCATATATCTCTAAACATCATATATAACTACATGCTTACATCTGGTTACTCATATAATCTAATTTCAGAATTAGACTTCTAGCAAGTCATAATTCCCTAACATAACTACACTTCATATCATGTACTCACCTTGGTTTTTTACCAATATCAAGCTCTCGTTCTCTCTCTCTAATCTTACTCTAATAGACTATCTGAACTTTGCTTCCGATCGATATCTACACGATCACGAAATTTAATGAATGTCAAGATTCAAATTACTTGATACGATTCCTATTAGTTCAAACCAATAAAACTCCAAGTCTAACTTTTCAAACTAAAGTAGTATCGGTACCACCCTTAGGGTACCAATACCTCTAAGCTAGGGTATCGATACTGTATCCAGGTACTGATACCAAAATTAACTTCAAAGTTCCCCGGGTATCGATACCCTCCATATAGGTATCGATACCTCTACCATATGGTATCGATACTATTTATAGAGGTATCGATACTCCTTGTAACAAATCTTTTTAAATGGCCTTGTAGTATCGATACCCACTTAACAGGTACTGATACCCCTTACCCAGATTTCCATTTTTAAACCAAAAAATTTAACCCTTTGCCCCCAAATTCTACTTATTAACTTTTACTTATTCCTTATAACTTATCTATATATATGTAAACCCTCTTAGAACATTATAACACTTCATAAACTTTCAAAACTAACCATAATTCTTGAATCAAAGAATTTCATCAAATTTTCTGTGTGTTCTAAATTCATTTCTAATGCTTCAATATTCTTAATCCTTCTAATGACAAGTCAAAATCATCAATAAAACTTCAAAAACCTCTTTATATCAAGAATTCATTTCTTAACCCTTAATGAATTTTCCTTTCAAATTCTCTCTACTTAATGATTTAAGCTTATATAAGTTTTCCTTAAGCTTATATAAGCTTTTCTTAAGTTTTCCTTAAGCTTATATAAGCTTTTCTTAAGCTTATATAAGCTTTTCTTAAGCTTATATAACACCCAAATAATCAAAATCAACTTCTAAATCCAATAATTAAACACCTGAAATTAACTTACCTTTGTGAAGTAAACCAACGGGAAGAAGAAGAAGAAAACAAGAAAAGCTTCCAGATAAATCTTTTCCCCAATTTGTTTATCTCTTAATAAAGAGATAAATATCTTTTAAATAAAAAAGACCATAATACCCCTTTAAACTTTCCATAATTTACATTTAATCCAATACTGAAATATTCATATTTAAGTCCTTGAACTTTTTGATTTTTCCTATATTGATCCCCATATTTTAAAAATTCTCATTTTAGTCACTAACCCTATCTTTAGGATATTACACACTGTGTATGAATACGAGTGCGAATTCAACAAGTTAAGTCATTTTGTGGCTGAGTTGGTTCCTATAGAGAAAGGTGCATAGGAGTGGTTTGTTGAGGGTTGCGCCCAAGGTTAAAGGAGATGTTGATCATGTTGAATTTGTCCTCGTTTCAAGAGGTAGTAAATCGTGCTAAAGATCTAGAGAGAGCTTAGAATGAACGGTTTGGGGAGTAAAGAGCCCAACAGTCTAAAAGAACTAGGGCTTCATCAAGTTTTGCACTACCCAAGAGAAGTAGATATTATGGTTTTCAGTCTCAGGCGAGGTCAGAGTCGGTGGCCTCCTCCGCTAGAGGATAAAATTAGATGAGAGCAAGACAGACTCAATCAGTAGGGTCTGGTGATGGAAGAGCACAATAGAGATAATGTCAGACTTGTGAAAGATACCACAGTGAGTTATGTAGAGTAAAATTCGGAGCTTGTTTCCAATGTGGGGAAACATGACATTATATAAGGGATTGTCTATTGAGGGCTGGAGAGTCTGCAAAGTCAGAGCGATCTGCTTTGATGTCTCAAAGAGGACGAGGTAGAGGTAGAGAAAAAATTCAGCCAAAGTCCTCTACTCAACAGGAAGTAAACTCCACTTCTCGAGTGTATAACATTAAGACTAATGAAGATTGTGATGATCCAGAGATAATTGCATGTACCTTTCTACTGTATGATAAATGTATTATGATATTGATTGATCCGGGGTCTACATATTCATATATTAGTAGTAAATTGGTGAGAGAATTGGGAATTCAATTAGAAACTACTAGTAATGATGTGATAGTGATAAATCCTTTAGGGCACAATGCTCGAGTAAATAGAGTATGTCGAGGATGTCCCATACGGATTCAGAGAATTGAATTCCCTACTAATCTGATGGAATTACCCTTTGACGAATTTGAGGTGATACTAGGAATGGACTGATTATTTCGCTATCATTCAAATGTAGATTGTAGACTGAAGAGAGTAACATTAACTAGTTCATAAGGATTGAAAGTAATAGTGTTTAGTGAAAGATGAAATCCATTGGCAAACGTTATTTCAGTGTTTTCACCAAGGAAGTTATTACTACAAGGATGCTAGGGTTTCGTGGCTAATGTACTGGATGTTAGAACCAAGGAAAAAATGTTAGAAGAAATCCCTATAGTCAGAGAATTTCCTTATGCTTTTCCTGCAGAGTTACCGGGGTTACCTCTAGATCGACAAGTGGAATTTCAGATTGAGATAATGCCTAGAACTATGCCCATTACAATGGCACCATATAGAATGACTCCAAAAGAATTACAGGATTTAAAGATTTAGTTATAGGAATTGTTGGATAAAGGATTCATTAGACCAAGTGTATCGCCTTGGGAGCTCCAGTGTTGTTTGTTCGAAATAATGATGGGTCGATGCGTCTCTGCATTGACTATAGGAAACTCAACAAGATACCTATCAAGAATAAGTATTCTCTCCCTAGAATTGATGATTTGTTTGATCAGTTGAAAAGAGCTTCAGTTTTCTCTAAGATTGATTTGCGATATGGATATCATCAATTGAAGATTCAGGAGAAAGACATTCCAAAGATGGTATTTATAACGAGGTATGGTCACTACGAGTTCATTGTTATGCCTTTTGGAGTTACGAATGCCCCAATTATCTTTATAGACTTAATGAATAGAATATTTCAAGCTTATTTGGATCAATTCATAGTTGTTTTCATTGATGACATATTGGTGTATTAGAAAATGAATGAAGAACATAATGTTCACTTGAGGATATTTTTGCAGATTCTAAGAGAAAAAAAGTTATATGCCAAATTATCTAAATGCGAGTTCTAGTTGAATAAAGTGACATTCCTTTGATATGTGATTTCTGTAGAAGGAATTCAGGTTGATCCTCAGAAAATAAAAGCCATTCTAGAATGGGAGGTTCTAAAGAATGTATATGAAGTTCAAAGTTTTCTAGGACTTGCAGGTTATTATCGAAGGTTCGTTAAGAACTTTTCGATGATAGCTTTACCTTTAACCAAGTTAATGAGGAAAGGTGTGGCATTTTCTTGGACTCTTGAATGTCAAGAAAGTTTTGAAATGTTTAAAAAGATTTTGACAGAAGCTCCAGTATTGGTTCAACCTGAGTCTGGCAAAAACTACGTCGTTTATAGCGACGTGTCAAATAATGGCTTGGGATTTGTGTTGATACAAGAGGGCAAGGTGGTGGCTTATGCATCGAGACAATTGAAATTGCATGAGAATAATTACCCAACGCACGATCTA